GAATCAATTGATGATGCTGCAGGTGGGAGTATTTTTACGGCGTAACTAAGTATGGAGTTGTCTCGTGACTGGTGGGAGGATTCTGATTCGTGTGGTAATAAATTGTTTAGAAATATGCAGAGTTTGGTCCTTTTTAGTATATTATTATATGCATTGTTGTTAATCCTCGCGGCGATTTGGGTTTAAATATACAGAAGTATTTTCTGAAAGTCATAAACGCGTTGAACTTTACCCACTTTTTGTTTTGAGCCATGCGCAGCCAAGTTTAGACATACAACTATTGGCAAGTTCTGGTGAGGGTATAGGCCATAGATTAAAATGGACAGGTTGGTGTAACGTGCTAGTAATCATAGAACATTGAAAATTGTGGGAATGAGTCGTATTAGGTTAATAGTTTTCTCTAGCTCTCTCAGAAACTACTTTTGTGGGACGTCGTGACTAGTACTCAATCTAGAAGAGTAGCGTATACTTAGAGAATCAGATATATTTTGTAAGGCAGTATTCGTTCAGTAATATCGCGCTGTGAACTCCTCAAGGGAACCAACACCTGTGGTAAAGTTTGAGCCAGAAGTCCCGCACCATTAGTGTACGGTCAATTGAGAAAATGTTTTTGGTTTGTCAAATCATTTCGCCATTTCATTGTTACATCCGCGACAACTTTGAGGAGAGGGGTGAACAAAAACAGGATCTCGAAAGGCATGGGACCGCACATCAAGAAGTACTCTTTAGTTTTTCTCTAAAAGGGTGTAAAGATTGTTACATCTAAAAATTCGCATGGTGTAGCTCGGAACCATGAGTGCGGTTGGCATATATGGAAAGTGCTTTACGAATCATTAAAGACATTAAAATATATATATACTCGCATTTTTAAGATATGATGATCAATAATAAAAAAGTAGACTGTGGCAAGTAATATGTCTTTTTAGTGTATATTATTATTGATATGGTAATATATATATAGGTAGGCATGTGGTGATAATAGGGTATCTATATATATATATAATATATATGATATTATATATTTATTTAATATTATTATAGAATTCTCAAGTAGCAGTATAACTATTAAACAGTATACGCATCTTGTTTTCACAAACAGAGTGAATGCATCATCACCCCCCCCGGCCCATGACGAACCTTCATCATCATCTGAGATATGCAGTATATAGTTAATGTCTTTAATGTTGTAAAGCACTTTCCATAGCAACCGCATATGGTTGCTAAGAATGAATTTAATGTAACAATTAGGGATTTACCCCTTTTGAGAAAAAAAAAGTACCTTATGGTGCGTCCCATGCCTTTGCATTCGAGATCTGTTTTTGTTTTGACCACCACCTCAAAGTTGTTTGAACAATGAAATGGCGAAATGAAATGACAAACCAAACATTTCTAATGACTACACTAATGTGGGGAATTTCTGGCTCAAGTTTAACTAACGAATCAGGAGTTTTTGAGAGTTCACGGCAAAAACTTTGAAAATACTTTTTAACAAAATATACTGATAATAGTATATTTCTATTTCAATTATACTTAGTCACGAGGTTCACTTGAAGTAGTTTTTGAGAGAGCTAGAGAAAATATGTACCTAATACGACTCATTCCCAAAATTTTATGTTTATGATACTAGCAGGTGTCATTTTTAATTATACTAGAACAGAAATGCAATAGGTTGTATGTCAAACTTGGCAGGCATGGCTCAAAACAAAAGGTTGTAAATCAACGCTTTATGTTTCAAAAATACTTCTCCGTTATTAGAACCAATTCGCCAATTAACAACAATTGATTAATAATATATTAAATCATTAAAAAGACAAAACTGATTTTTAAACAATTTAATAAGTCAGAAATCCTGACAGTCCACGAGACTAGATTAGGTATTACGGGAAAAAATATCCACCGACAATAATGATTCATTATCAAGAAGCTTTTCTCAGAAAACAGGGTATATTATAGTAGGATTTATTTAGAGCTGCGTTTGAAGTAAATCAGCTGGTGACCGTTTTATCCAATAAGGAGCTTATATGAATGGGTGAAAACCAGAACAGTATAATTTATAAGTTCTGAGAATAACTTTTTTATTTTTGGCTATATTTCATTGACAAGGTATTTTCGTACTTTTAATGAGCATCTGAAATGACATGATTTCAATGCTAAAACCAAGCTCCACAACTTTACAGTGAAATTTACTTATATAAAAAGATTTCTCAGAATTTATAAAATGGCACTCATGCCGTTTTGGTTTTCACTCATTCATATGTCACTACAGTGACATGAATCCAAGCTCTCAATTGGATGACCTGAATGGGCAACAGCCGTTTTACATCAAAAGCAAGTTTTGTATAAATGATGTATATTTATGTTTTAATTTCAGATTAATAAGTTAATAGAAGAATCATTAAAACATACAAGAGAGACATATCATTTGAAATTATCTAACATACGACAACTTGTAGTAGCCAAAAATTAAGGATTGGTATTTTGTTGTAATGAAAGAAAGGAAATATACAGCTTTTGATTGTCCTGTTATCTTACAACCTTCTGCAACCATTGTAGTTCTCTAAATTGATCACAATAGTGTAATAAAGAAGAAAGTGAATTTTTTTTGACATGCAACCTATTGCTGTTACCGCAACAATATACTTCTTTGCATACATAACCCTGACAGAATAATCAGGATTTCACTAAGTAGCAAACCCCATGCATGGCTAATTTATACAATAGCACACAAATTAATCTCCTCTCCAAAGAAAATTATATTATGCATAAAGGAAAAGACTCAATTTAAACATTTTGATGAAATTATTTATAACTAAGATTAACAACCACAAACAACATTGACAAATGAAAAAGAAATGAGAACTTACTGATAAATCTTTTAATTTGGTTTTCAACACGTCCGAGGGAATTTGAAACATCAAACTTTCAAAAGCTTGATTCATAGACTCCCTGGCTTTCTTTCCCCGGTCTTCAAGTCTTTTCTTCACAATTTCAACTATCAAGAGAGAAAAATTAAAGGGTAAGTAGCATACAATTTTACTTATGATAAAATTGTTCACAAATAATTGCAAAATTGCTTGACTTTGTAACAACTTTTAAATTTCAAAGATTCTCAAAAAATTAATAATTACAGTCAATGCCAAATTAGTTCGACAAGAGGCAACTTTCAAGTCTGAAGCCTAACACCTATCCACAATTCATTGTCATTTGAAGGGGCTGGAACTAACATTCGACATACCCAACCTGAAGACCTTAGAATTTCTCCAAAATGAAACATTAGATTTAAATGTTGTACAATCATGATCCTAGAACTTCAGCAAGAGTTTATAAATCTGCAAGAACTGTGTACACTAACATGTTTGAATTTGTAAAAACTGTTTTTCCTCAGACTGAAATAAAATATAAAAATTTGGGTGAGCACCACGTTGTCCTAGTCCATTTATAGGACAAATATTCTAACACATACATCTACTTACATTGTTTACACAAGTTTGTTACAAATGCGTCATTCTCTTTGCCACGGGCGTTTTTCCTTCCTCGTTTCTTCTTTTCCATTTCTAAAAAGAAATATATATTTTGGCAATTTTCACTGCTCACAAGAAATTCAGATCATGGAATAAAGTTCGTATAAATTATTAATAGTAATAATGGCATTAATAACTGATCTTTAGGTATGCATCGTAACATAAAAATTCAAAGGTGTGATTAGAAACTGCAACACAACAAATACACCTGTAAGTTACAAACCTTAAGATTCGGGTACCAGATATTTCACACAAATACCCACAAAGAAATATGTCAAAAACGACCAGACCAGGACAAGTCTTCAGACCGCATGAATACCGCCCGCTACGGTTGAGTTTGAATCGGTTTGAAAGCAGTGCTTTGCAACGGTGGTAGGGAGATCAACTTGCTTACAATATACTAATTTTGACAGTTGGTAAGAATGATTTGTGAAAGAGCAGGGCTGACGGAAGGAAAAACAATTCAAGACAGGAACTTTTAAAAGGGAAAAGGGACACCCCAACAAGGGTATATCGCTATGGAGCCCAAAGAAATAAAGTAAAAGGGGAAGCATTGCATTATTGTCTTATAAAGCTTTTACTGAAGAGCATAACCGCAGGTGGCCCAGACCAGAGCAGGGAGCCAACACACAGAGAGAAAATTTGTATAAAACTGATTGCAGCACTACTGTCTAATTTAAATGTAGTGACTTATGAGTGATCATCTGTTGGACGCAGTTATCATCAAAGACTATCTGCTTATAGTAATCGGGAGCGTATTTCCCATCGAGCTAGACTTGCGCTCTTCGTGGAGGGTCGCAGAACTAGTGCCCGCCATATTATTTGAAGTCAAAACATACGAGTGGCGTTTAACCGTACGTAACCAGTGCGAAACGTAATACTGCAATTTTCAATTTTAACTTTGCCCCTGGCAAATACCAACTATTGACAGTTTCATTCAATCGGAAGCTTAAACGTCACTGTAGTGAAGTCACGTGATATTCAAGCTCCCGATTGGATGAGACCATGAACTGCTGAGACCCGCCACGGGCAGAGTTGCATAAATCGCAGTATAGAATAATTTGGGTCCGATAGGGCGCTGCTTTGACTGCAAAAAGCATGGATTTCAGTTTGCTTCAAAGATGGAGGCGCTTTACCCTCTCTATGTAGTATATTCTGGATCGTTGGTATTTCCACCACGATCGGGTGCTTGGTTTCGACCATGTTACCAACTTCAGGCACTAGTTTGCGTCACAATATTAGCGGGAATTTTAAATGTACCCAGAGAGCACAAGTCATTAAAATATATATACGAAGCATTTTTTTTAATATTTCAATATTCTTAATATTACACCGTCATCGTGTTACGTTTCGTTGAAAATTGTCACTTTCAAAATGTTTCTCAACACTTCTTGCTTTCTGTTAGGGTTGTTACTATTTTCAAATTTAAAAGCCTGCAGTGCTAAACAAACTATTGCCTCAAACTCAAAAATGACTGCCACTTTGTTAAATTTTGAAAAAAAATGTCCCGCGCCTAACGACATGTATTAAGTTGAAACATCGAAAGGAAATTTCGTTGCATTTACAAAAGTATACATTAGTATTGGTACTAAAGTATACATTGGTATAGTAGCATTACATTTACTAAAGCATACCCTCGCGGGAGCGCGAACCTTCGCGCCGCCGCACCTCTACGCCGCCACCGCGGCCTCAGCGTTCGCCCGCGATCGCTGACGCGCCCAGCGGAATCAGCGACGCCAGGAGCGAACCTACTCGGATGCCCTGATGCAACGCCCCTGCCACACCCGGGAGCGCCAGCCGACGGCCGCCGACGCAGCTCGCGAGGAGCGCGATGCTCTTCTGGAGCGGCATAAGCGGTCGGCGGAAAGCACCCAGTGCCCTCCTCACTGAACGAGCAGGAGCGCGTGCTGCACGCCGCCGTAGACGATCTCGCCCGAAACGGGATCGCTCCGGACCGCGTCATGCAGGCGCTCCTGCGAACCGTCACCGACCGCGATCCAGCCGAGTGGTCGGCGGTCATGCTCAAGGTAGTCATGACACTTCTTGTGCACGCACATGAGATGGCCGCGGCCGCTGCAGGAGAAGCAACGGGGAGACACGTTCCTCCTTGCAGGCACCACGTTCATCCCATCCCTAAATGATGGCTAGCTCTACTTTTTACCGGAACAGCGGCACCGTTGCATTTTGGAACTGCAATGACATCTGCTCGCGAGAGAAACAGCCAGAACTACACAGTTTTCTCGTTTGGCACAATATCTTTATCATGATGCTGGGTGAGACATGGCTTAACCCTCATCTTTCTTTAAGTATTACAGGTTTCTACAGCTACATAAACGACAGAGCAGCACAAGCAGCAAACAGGACAGACGCCCATAGAGGGGGGCGGCACTACAGTATTAGTAAGACGCAACATAATTCATTATGTTACAGCTCTTCCGCAGCTGCAGCACGCCGAGGCCACTGCTGTTGTCGTTCAGACGGAACGAGGGCCGCTGTGTCTCACTTCTATCTACGCACGCCCTGACCGCGCCACGGAAACGTGCGCCTTACTAGCTGCAGATATTGCAAAACTAGTGGAGGCAAACACAACTCCAACACTTGTGGCAGGCGATTTTAATGCCAAATTCACGGCCTGGAGTTCCCGCATCACCTGCCCTCGCGGCCGTAAGCTGAAAGCAAACGCTGACGCAAACGGCTGCGAGATATACGCTCCTATAGCAACCATCTACGAGCCTTATACAACGAACGGCAAGCCCGATATTTTAGATATCGCGCTTTGCCAAAAAATACATTAACCTCCCACACTGTCAACCACGGCGGCCTGACACTGTCGCCTGCACTCACGATGCAGAAGGGGCGTAAGGACTGGAATAAATTCCAGAAGGAGCTGCAGCAGCGTATTCCAGATGCATCTGCTCTGTCAGGGCCACAGCATATAGAAGCTGGAGCACAAAAATTCGCCGAAGCAGTGACTGACAGCCTCAACGCTGCAGCTGAGACGCAGCGTTCCTCTAAGAAGGAGCAGCCACTAACTAAAAGAGCAGCTGATAAGCGGGAGCTAAACCGATTGAAACGTAAAGTGGAAATCGAACCGCAATCAGAAATGGGCTAAATTGTTGTCAGGTCTCAAACCTGAAGATAATTCACTTTGGCGAGTCTCTCGCATGCTTTCTAGAATTCCAATAACAGTGTCGCCGATTCAAACCAGCACAGAAGAGTTCGCAGAATCGAACGAGGCGAAAGCGGAACTCCTAGTTAAACCTTCGCGCCGCCAATACCGCACGTTGTCGAAGTACAATAAACGGTAATGGCGGCATTGCACGCGCCCGCCGACGAGCCGAGTTTCGCTACAGAAGCTGAAGTTAAAGTGGCCATCTCGGAGATGAAAACTATAAAAGCTCTCGGTCCCCAAAATCTCTAACGACGTCCTAAAGAAGCTGCCGCAGCAGGCCGTAGTATTCTTCTCTGTTTAATGCTATATTTATGTTTCAGCATTTTACGAGTCAGTGGAAACACGCACATTTCCTGACGTTTCACCAGCAGGCGAAAAAACCGAAAATGCCCGAGTCGTACAGGCCCATAAGCCTACTAAACACGCTCGGAAAACTCCGTAAAAAACTAATTCAAAACAGAATTCTCAAATGTTTCAGATAATTCACTCATAAATAAGAAGCAGTTTGGCTTTCGCGCGGGGCATAGCACAACGCATCAGCTTGTGCGAATCACGGACCGCATAAGACGCAACTTCAACGAGGACCGATTTACAGATGGAGTGTTCCTCGACGTTGCCAGCGCCTTCTTTACACGTACTTACTTCTTGCCACGTCGGTCTTCTTTACAAACTTCATTCTATGAACTTTCCTGTATACCTTGTGCACTTCATCCACTCTTACCTATCAAACAGAACGTTCCAAGTGACGCTTCTAAATGCTAAATCTACCCGCCGCGCCATACGCGCCGCCTGTGCCGCAAGGGAGCGTGCTTCCGCTCTTCAGCGTCTATGTGCGTGATATTCCCACCCCCTCTCAAACGGAGCTCGCCTTGTACGCCGACGATACGGCTGTAATATCCACGTCGAAAAAGATCAAGCTTCTCCAGAAGTACTTGTCTTCACATGGAGACAGCGATTCACGCAGCCAAGGCGGCTATCGCTATGCGGAAACACGATTAATTGGGCAAAACATGTCAAATATTTAGGTTTCACATTAGACAGCCCACTTTCTTTTAATCTGCACATCGAAAATGTGCGAAAAAAAGCGCGGTAGACCCGAGACAGATTGCGAAGCAGAGCAAACTGTCAACGGCAAACTGCCTCATGCTTTATAAAGCAATAATTAGGCCGCAACTGGACTACGCCTGCCCCAGCTGGGCAATTGCAGCAACCACTCATTTGAATAAACTGCAAGTAGTTCAAAACTAATGTCTCAAGGCCCCCCCTTTTTTTAAGCAGTTGACAGAAATGAGACTTAAAACATTAACTTTGTAATTCTACACGCACAATGCACGCGCCAGTAGGCTAAAATCATTTTTTGACCTTCTGTTTTTCTTAATGTGGAAGGATTGACCTTAGATGCCCGTAAGGGTAGAAATGGTCTCACCGCAGTGGCGTGAACTTTCCGTGCGTTCACAAAACTCCACAAAGAAGTACAGTCTACGCGTTTAAAATTTTCAGCGAACTGCCTCTTATTTGAAAGTTTCTCCAGTCAACTTCTAACTCGGAATATTCTTCAGTCTGCTACTTATTCGATACGTTCATCGGTCTATTTATTTTCAAATTCACCGGCATGTTTCTTCTCAAAAGGTTTACCGAGTCGAACTGATACAAAGTTTACCGAGCTTCTGTTAAAGAAGGTTCTCTCCAATAGGCCGCTGGGTTTCCCGTAAACACGTTCGCTTCTTTCCGCTTTAAAGGGAGCGAAGTCGACCGCGGAGGACACGTGGCGTGTCCCGGAGACATATTTTCGCGTGGACACACCACCTCCTCGCCAGAGAAGACTATTGAGGCCGCTGCGCCAACGGGAATCTGCGGGAGCCCCGGCACCCTTCTGAACCCCGCTGCAAGTACAGCGGCAAGACGCCACCAAGATGAACATTGAGGTGAGATTTCTCCGAGGGAGGAATCAAATTTGAAAAGTGAGTGAGAGAGAGAATTGATTAATTGAAAGATTTAAATGTAAAATAAGTCTCAACAGCCATTACATAAAAACAGCCTGTAAACCAACGCGGAATGTTATTAGTAACATGAGTATCAATCCCCGGCATGTATTCGCCCCCTTTCCCCCTATTTCTTTATAAATAATATAAAAATAATAATTATATTATAAATAAATAAATTTATGTATAGTTATAGTTAAAAATTATAGTTAAAAACTGAGTGTGACGTGCTATGGGGAGAAGTTAATTTGAATTTACATTTATGTCCAGAAGCAAAACAAGGGGCCATCTTAGCATTTGCTCGAGGATCAGGGAAACTGGA